AAAGCTAGGCTTGTTGCGAAAGGTTATACCCAGATCGAGGGTATTGATTATGATGAGACCTTTTCGCCAGTAGCTATGCTTAAGTCCATTCGGATTCTCTTGGCTGTAGCCGCTCATATGGACTATGAGGTCTGGCAGATGGATGTCAAGACAGCTTTCCTTAATGGGAACCTGCAAGAAGACATCTATATGCAGCAACCAGAGGGATTCATTGCTGAAGGTCGTGAGCATCTAGTGTGTAAGCTTAATCGGTCTATTTATGGACTGAAGCAAGCTTCGAGATCTTGGAACATCCGTTTTGATGAGGTGATCCAGTCGTACGGGTTCACTCAATGTCCGGATGAGCATTGTGTTTACAAGAAAATCAGTGGGAGCGTGGTGGTGTTTCTTGTGCTTTACGTAGATGACATACTGCTTATTGGAAACAGTAAGAAGGAGTTATCAGACGTAAAGGTGTGGTTGTCTAAGCAGTTTGATATGAAGGACTTAGGTGAAGCAGGACACATTCTTGGTATTAGGCTCATTAGAGATCGTAAGAAGAGAATGTTGTGCTTATCCCAGTCTTCATACATAGATACTGTCTTGGCCAGATTTAGCATGCAGGATTCCAAGAAAGGTATGTTACCTTTTAGACATGGAATACCTTTATCTAAGGAGATGTCTCCTAAGACGTCTAAGGAGATAGAGGAGATGAAGACAGTTCCTTATGCTTCGGCAGTAGGAAGTCTCATGTATGCAATGCTATGCACAAGGCCGGATATTAGCTACGCCGTTGGCATGGTAGCTAGATATCAAAGTAATCCAGGACGGGAACATTGGTCTGCGGTGAAGCATATACTCAAGTACCTGAGAAGGACTAAGGAGTACATGTTAGTTTACCGTGCAGACAGCTTGTTACCTCTGGGTTACAGTGATTCTGATTTCCAGTCAGATAGGGATGAAAGTAAGTCAACCTCAGGTTATGTGTTTACCTTGGGAAGTGGAGCCATTTCATGGAGGAGTGCTAAGCAGAAATGCGTGGCAGACTCCACCATGGAAGCCGAGTACATAGCAGCCTCAGAGGCAGCGAAAGAGGCAGTTTGGCTCAGGAACTTCTTAGTGGACTTAGAGGTTATACCGAGTTTGCCACGTGGTATCACCGTGTACTGTGATAACAGTGGAGCAGTAGCGAACTCAAAAGAACCTCGAGCCCACAGGGCAAGCAAACACATAGAGCGCAAATACCATCTGATTCGGGATATCGTTGGTAGAGGAGACGTTGATGTTGCCAAGATTGCATCAGAGGATGCATGGCGATAGGATCGACATAGGTCTTTTAGAATAACGGATTGATAGGACTATACTGTAAAAGCGAAAGCTTTAAGTATAAGTGGGAGATTGTTAGTGTTATATACTGAAAGCTTGGCTTTGCATGTTATTACACATTTACCCTTTATGAATGAGAATCATGTTAGATTAAACAAGTTCTACGTTCTGTTGTTCTGCACTTAGATAGGGTGGGTCGTCATCGGGCGAACCGAAGATCACTCTGTCAGTCACTTGCGAACAAGAATAGTTGTTCACAACCTAGATGGACATGAACACCCCATCCGAACGGTTGTAGTGTCAACTGTACAGTTTGTCTTGACTGATTAGTTGCACTAGTACATTTATGTATTGAACAGGATCCCAGAGAGGAGAAGTTCATTTTATACTGATCGTCGTAAATGAACTAGGCCTCGGTTAATTACTGCGTTCTCTTAACCCGTAAGATATTAAACAGGCAGATATATATAATATATATTACTTTGATTCACATGGGTGAGGTTCAGTTCGCTGGATTAATATTCCTACTGTTTTGGGTAATATTATTATATATAGGATGTGCTGTTAGGATATTTACGGTCACCATGTGCGTTAGTTTGATGATGTCCCCGGAGTGAGTTCATGAAGGATTGTTATGCTAAACCCTGCAGGTGGATTAAATTCCGGCATAATAAGAATGTGATGAACGAGCGCTAGCTTCGGTGAAATAATAATAAATTAATTAATTCTTGATTGTCAGTAATCGAATTAATTAATGGACATTATATCTTAAACGTGGGGAGGTAAATCGAGTAATTATTATTGGAGTCTCAAATGTAATTTGGGCTAGGGAAAGGGAGTGCAATAATATAATGTTGGTGGCCCATTAATATTATTTAATTAATTAGAGGAGTGGGTTTGGCCCACAGTTAGTCTAATTAATTAAGGAGCCCTTTTCCTAATCTCCTTAGGGTCCCTACTGTAGCTCTATATATACATCATTAAGCTCATGAGAAGAGAATAGAAGTCTCATTCTCACGTGAAACCATCTCTCTCTCTAGATCTCATTCGAGCTTTATCTTCTTCTTGTTGCTCCACTGGTACAAGTTGAAGAAGGGTGTATTGAGTAATACAGTAGAAGATCTGTAGGTAAACCGAGACGAAATTGATTTTGACCTACAGAACTAACCGGAAGTCCGATTGAGACGTACAGTATACCCAGACGACCGTCTCGACGAGAGCTTTCCATCGCCGCCGACGTCGCCGGAATCCGACGCCGCACGCGCCCTCACGCGCCGCCGGAAGGTGTCTGGCAGCAAAATTTCGTTTTGATCTGTTTGCATCCGTTTGATCCAGTTTTGATCTGATCTTGTTCGTGCAACCCAAGACGCGTGTTGCGGTCAATCAATTGCGGTCAACCGTTCGTGGTCAACCAGATCTACATAAATTTTAAGCCGTAAGTTCTCTACGTCAAACCTTTAGATCCGCTGCGCATAGGTTTACGTTTGCTATTGAATTCGTGATTTGTACATAACGAGATCCTCACAGATCCCAACAATATTTGCATAATTTAAGACCATTAAGAAACCGATATCTAAACCAGATTTGATTTTCAGAATATGTTTTTTCATTTCGAATTCCATACAAAATGGAATTCTTTCCAACCAATAGATGTCATAGCAAATATTAACTCTTAACTATTAGATTATTAGTACATACCGAGCAAATTGTGTACTGGTTTTAGAAAGTTAAAATGATTCATGTTAGGTAATTTTACATTTTATGCATGTTGAACGGTGGGTTTTAAATATTATTTCATAGAATGTAAAAGTGTATTATATTATTTTTATGAGATGTTGAATTTGAAAATTAATATAATTCTTCTTCATAGGAATTTTAAATGTAACAGTATTCTTTGGTATACACTACTAATAAAATCTATATTTAAAGTTTATATTTTTTTTACCGAAAAAAATTCCTTAATTTAAGGAATCATATATCTTCAATCAGTCCACATCTACTTCACAATTTTAAATCTTGAATTTGATGAAAATTCGTATCTATGAGTGCAAAATATGGTTTAACAAATTAATTTTTTATTAATATTCTAGCCATACTTCTTTATACGATTTTTGTGAAAATACAAAAGTAAATTCTTAATTTTAAATCAGCCGTACATTAAGGAGTACAAATTTATTGAAATTACAAAAGTAGTTTTTTACTTTTAAACAGACGTAAATTTAAATCAGTAATAAAAAAGTAATATTTGTTTACCATTTAAATATTAAATCAGCCGTAATTAATGTTGTTTGTTTTAGTTGCCACGATTTTCTCCAAACTAAATTAACAACTGCCATGATTTAAGGGCAACATTTAATGCTGCTCTATTTTTAGGAGACATTAAATGTATTTGACGGGAAAAACTTGCTAAAAGTGTTAAATGGTTAATCTTTTAATATAATGATAAATTGTTTGATTTAAAGAATGGTAAAAATAATATATATATATTTAGTAGTTGTTGATTTTAAAAGTTACTAGAATTCGATTATGTGAACTTGCACAAATGTAAATAAAAATATACTTTATAGGTGTGTATGCAATATTTAAAAATAATAAGTTAGACAATGATCAAATATCACATTTTATTTTTGTCATTAATAAGAATGAACGATATAAATATAAACTATTTAACTTACATATTAATATTTATATTGATTGCAATAATATAATTTTTACAATTTTGGCTGATTATGACTAATTAATTAAATAAAAAAATATTGAAATTATTATTATAGAACTATGTACGAAAATTTAAGGGGTTAGGTTATTCCGTAATTATAAATTAATAAATTTTAATAAAAAATTATTTAATGAGCTGAAAAAAATTAATTTTAAATAGACAATAAGAAAAATTTTAAATAGAATATTATTTTTTTATTAATTAGTATTTTATAATAAAGTAAATAAAAATATAATTACTTTATATATTGATGATAAAAAAATAATGTATACATTTAATAGTAGTTGATTTTAAAAGTGATATTGTGCTTAAAAATAATAATAACATTGTAATGGATGCAAAATGTAATGAAAAAGAGCAAAAGAACAAAAATAATTATCATAAATATTTTTCTATCAATAATATATATATGATAAAACTAATGTATACATTTAATAGTTGTTGATTTTAAAAGTGATATTGCGCTTAAAAAGTATAATAACATTGTATATATATATATGTGTGTGTGTGTGTGTATAAATATTTTATAGTAATTGTTTAGACTATCTAATATTTAGACAATAATAAATATTATAGATTTACACAATTCCATTCTCAAATATCATAATTTTGGAAAATACTACAGTCCCGTTACGGAACCATTCCGTTGGGATTTGTAATCATTAAATGCATATATAGATTAGTGTACTATGTGCATCTAACGGCTAAAAATCTCAACGGAATAGTTTCGTAATGATACTGTAGTCTTACCCCATAGTTTTTGAATCAATACAAATAAATTTAAATATAATAAAATCATGCATTATTTTTTTCTTTTTTTTTTTCTTTATCAAGCA